CGCCGAGTTTCACAGAGACCAGTTTCGCGAGTTCAAGTAAGCTTTCTCTGCGGCTTCCACTGCTCCTCATTGCCATTGTCCAGTTTCTGGCGTGTATTCGTGTATGTAGCTTGCGACTCATGCGTTTTCTAGACTGAAGCCCGACTTCAATCGGACAATTGAAATCTCCATCCCCATCTTCCAGGCCGGCGCTTACGCCTTCTACACCACCTATGCCGAGCTGCCAGAGCTTGAAGAGGAGCTCGACTCGACTCCCCAGACCGGCGCCACCAACAAAAAGACGCCCCTCTACTACATCGATGTCGCCCCGCGTCTCAGTCTCGATGGCCGCCCGCTGCCACTGCCCGCTCTGTCCATCTTCTCAGTCATTAGCAAGTTTATGGGCAAATACCCAGGCGACTGGGAAAAGCATCTTCGCGGTATTAGCGATCGCGGTTACAACATGATTCACTTCACCCCGCTGCAGGTTCGCGGTGCTTCCAATTCCCCATACAGCTTGTACGATCAATTGGGCTGGGATCCCGAATGCTTCCCTGCCGGCGAGAAAGACATTAAGGGCTTGGTGGAGAGCTTGGAAAAGCAGTATTCCCTCCTTAGTTTGACCGACATTGTCCTTAATCACACGGCACACAATACCGCATGGCTGCAAGATCACCCGGATGCCGGATACAACTTGGTCACGGCACCTTGGCTAGAGTCCGCGTGGCTGCTGGACTCGAAGCTGTTGGAGCTTAGCGAGAACTTTGAGAAGCTTGGACTTCCCACCGAGGTGAAGAGCGACGATGACCTCATCAAGATTATGGACGCCATCAAGAAGCAGGTGATCTCCGAGATTCGCCTCTGGGAATACTACGCCATTGACGTCGAGCGCGACGTTGAGGCGGGCTTGGAGGCTTGGGTTGCCGGCAGCACCACCCTGCCGCAAGACACCACTGGCGACGCAGATGTGACGGGACTGAAAGATGCATCTCTCAAAGACCAGGCTGATTTCCTCATCAAGAACGGCCTTCAGGGCGGTGACCGCATGGGCGAGAGGTTCAGGAGAAAGGTCGACCCTAAGGTGGCTTCTGGACTCCTGTCCACCATCTTTGGACGCTACGAGGGTGAAGAGGGTAGCGGTCCGACCAAGGCGGCAGCTAAGTCAAAGTTGGTGTCTATTCTCGACGAGATCAACCTGCCATTCTACAAAGAGTATGATAACGAGCTCAGCGAGATCCTGCAGCAGCTCTTCAATCGTATCAAGTACTGCCGACTTGATGAGCATGGCCCGCGCATGGGCCCCATCAACAAGGAGTTCCCTCTGATCGAGACCTACTTCACTCGTTTGCCCAAGAACGACACAACGGCCAAGAACAAGCCCGAGGAGAATGTCTTGGTCAACAACGGTTGGGTTTGGGGCGGCAACGCCCTGGTCGACAATGCCGGCCCGGATTCTCGCGTATACCTGAGACGCGAGGTCATTGTCTGGGGCGACTGCGTCAAGCTCCGCTACGGCAAGGGTCCCTCAGACAGTTCTTTCCTGTGGGAGTTCATGACCAAGTATGCCCGTATGCTCGCCAAGTACTTTGCTGGTTTCCGCATTGACAACTGCCACTCTACGCCAATCCATGTTGCCGAGCACATTCTGGACGAGGCACGCCGAGTCCGACCGGATTTGTATGTCGTGGCAGAGTTGTTCTCTGGCTCCGAGGAGATGGACTATGTCTTCGTGAAGAGGCTGGGTCTGAGTGCTTTGATCCGTGAAGCCATGCAAGCATGGAGCACTGGAGAGCTCAGCCGCCTGGTCCATAAGCACGGCGGTCGTCCCATTGGAAGCTTCGAGGTTGACGAGATTTCAAAGGCAGACCCCAAGTCTCCAATGAGCCCCATGAGCCCGGCCAACGAAGGCAGCGACCTGCTCAACGGGAGCAGCCCGTCCTCGCGAGAGATCATCCGGAGGATCAAGCCTGTACCAGTTCAGGCCCTCTTCATGGACTGCACTCATGACAACGAGACCCCGGCTCAGAAGCGTGATGCACGCGATACCCTCCCGAACGCCGCTCTGGTCAACATGTGCGCCAGTGCAACTGGCAGTGTCATGGGTTATGATGAGATCTACCCCAAACTTGTTGACCTCGTCAACGAGACTAGGCTGTACACATCTGAGTCATCCTCCAAGCCTGTTAAGATTGGTGGCGGCGGAAACGGCATTGGTGGCATCAAGAAGCTCTTGAACCAGATCCACACCCTCATGGGCAAGGACGGATACGATGAGACTCACATTCATCATGAGGATCAGTACATTACCGTACACAGAGTACACCCTGAGTCGCGGAAGGGATACTTCCTGATTGCCCACACTGCTTTCCCTGGCTACGGCAACGGCAATGGCGCTTTCAACGCGGTACACCTTGGAGGCACCAAAGCCCGTCATCTTGGCAGCTGGATGCTTGAGGTGGATGCAAGCGACGAGGCTCGCAAGGAGGCTCTGAACGACAAGAAGCTTCTGCGTGGCCTGCCTAGTCGCGTGGTAGATGTCCCCGGCGTTCGCATGGAGGTCAAGGGCGACGACACCATTATTACTGTGCGCGACAAGTTCCCTCCTGGCAGCATTGCTCTTTTCGAGACATGGATCCCGGCAGCTGAGCACTCATCTGGTCTCGACAACTACGTCACCTCGGGTGCTAGGTCCGCGGTTGAGAACCTGAACCTGGTGGATCTCAACTTCCTGCTTTACCGATGTGAGGCCGAGGAACGTGATGGAAGCGGTGGCAACGATGGCTGCTACGAGATTCCCGGCTACGGCAAGCTCGTTTATGCCGGTCTCCAGGGATGGTGGAGTCTTCTGAAGGATATCATCCGGGACAACAACCTTGCTCATCCTCTGTGCCAGAATCTTCGTGACGGCCAATGGGCTCTGGATTACATTGTCGGACGCCTGGAGCGCATCAGCAAGACTCCCGATTTTGAAAACCTTGAGAAGCCCGCCGTCTGGCTCAAGGAGCGGTTTGATGCGATTCGCAAGATCCCCAGCTTCTTGCTGCCAAGATACTTTGGCCTCGTTCTGCGCACCTTGTACACTGCCTCTTGGGAGCGTGGACTTGAACTCATGAACGACAACGTTCGCGAAGGACAATGGTTCCTCCAAAGTCTCGCCATGGTCAGCGTGCAAGAGACTGGCCTGGTCAAATCTGGCTCTTTGTGGCCCAAGAAGCTGGTCCCATCGTTGGCTGCCGGTCTGCCTCATTTTGCCGTCGAGTGGGCGAGATGCTGGGGACGTGATGTCTTCATCTCCTTGCGTGGTCTCTACCTTGGCACCGGCCGTTTCGACGAAGCAAAGGAGCACATCCTTGCCTTTGCCAGCGTTCTGAAGCACGGTATGATTCCCAACCTGCTCAGCAGCGGAGCTTTGCCGCGTTACAACTCTCGCGACTCCATCTGGTTCTTCCTTCAGTGCATCCAAGACTACACCAAGTTCGCACCCAATGGACTGGACCTGCTCCAGGAAAAGGTCAAGAGACGCTTCCTGCCTTACGACGACACCTGGTTCGATGTCGATGACTCTCGCACCTATTCCCAGGAGAGCACCATCGAGGATATCATCCAGGAAGCGCTGCAGAGACACGCATCTGGCATGTCCTTCCGTGAGGCCAATGCTGGCCCCTCGATCGACTCGCAGATGAGTGACAATGGCTTTAACATTTCCATCAAGACTGACTGGGACACTGGCATCATCTTTGGTGGTAACCAGAATAACTGCGGTACATGGATGGACAAGATGGGTGAAAGCGAAAAAGCTGGCTCAAAGGGTGTTCCCGGTACACCCCGTGACGGCGCTGCCATTGAGATCACTGGTCTCCTATACAGCACTCTGAAGTGGGTGGCGTCGCTCAACCAGCAAGGCAAGTACCAGTATTCGTCCGTGAAGAAGGCAGACGAGTCGACAATTTCTCACAGAGAGTGGGCCAACCTGATTCGCGACAGCTTTGAGCGATGCTACTGGGTTCCTCTTTCTTCTGAGGAAGACGGCAAGTACGATGTCAACCCGCAGGTCATCAATCGTCGCGGAATTTACAAGGACTTGTACAAGTCTGGCAAGGAGTACGAGGACTACCAGCTGCGTGCCAACTTCCCCATCGCCATGTGCGCGGCACCCGAGCTCTTCGATCCCGCGCATGCGCTGCATGCCCTCTTGGTAGCCGACAAGTCCATCCGTGGGCCTACAGGCATGGCGACTCTCGACCCCGCCGATCTCAACTACAGGCCGTACTACCGCAACAGCGAAGACAGTGAGGACTTCGCCACTAGCAAGGGACGAAACTACCACCAGGGCCCGGAATGGCTGTGGCCAACTGGTTTCTTCCTCCGCGCCCTGCTCAAGTTTGACCTCGCCAGAAGAGGTGACCAGGCTGGACGCATCGAGGCCTTCCAGCAAGTTACGCGGAGACTCATGGGCTGCAAGCAGATGATCCGGGAAAGCGTCTGGGCCGGACTCGCGGAGCTGACGCAAAAGGATGGCGAAGATTGCCCCGATTCTGTAAGTTGTTTCTGATTGTAAACAGTGGCTCATTTGCTAACAAACAATAGTGCCCTACACAGGCGTGGTCTGCCGGTTGTCTGATTGACTTGTACATGGATGCGGCTGAAGAGCAAAGCGACAAAGCCAAAATCGCCTTACCTGTAAGGACCAAGTAAATGATTCGACGTTGCGAAAACTAATAACTCCTACTGGGAACCGTATTCAAATTAGTTAGGCGCTTTGAGAGTTTCCACGCGGATGATGCAGAAAAGACACCCTGGGCCCGATCAAAAGCAGTATGAACTTTGTTGATTTTTGGATCCGAACACGACACGCGTTTGATGGCATATAGATAGACTGCATGAATTATAGCATGGTACACCTGAACTGCGTCTTCTTTGCTTGGTCACACTTGTAGATGTCTCATAGTTCAAGTACACGAGGGTGAATAACCTTTGGCCTTGCGTACTCTTCACGCGTGCCGAACACATGTCAAAACACCTCACTCAAACCGAATCGAATACATGAGATTCTTGACAGGTTCAAACCTCTCCATCCCCTCGCCCCTGAGCTCAAAAGCAGGAACCTCATCAACCCACGTCTCAACCCTCGCTCTCCTCCCATGTTGCGCCGCCACCCTCGTCCAAAACTCGACAAAACTCGCTTCCGTGTGCCGATACAGCCTCTGGCCCTTGTGCATCTCCTCCCTCCGCGCCTCGCCTTCCGTCGTGCCCGCTGTGCGGCCGAAAATCAAGTCGTTTGATTTCCCCGAGAGTAAAGCTAGCAGGAAGGCGGCGTAGGTTTCTTGGTCTTGTAGGCTGAAGCAGTGCTGGACGTAGTTTGCTGTGATGATGGTGAAGTTGTTACGCCAGGAGGGGGGGAGGGTCGAGGGCGGGGAGAGGGCGTTTGCTTGGAGGAATGTGATTGGGGTGTGAGGGTCGTTGAAGAGTGATTTGCCGGCGGAGAAGAAGGAGGAAGTTAGGTCTATGCCGTGGAGGGATTGTGGGGGCGAACCTGCGTGGACCTGGGGAGTTGTTAGTTGATTGCTGGTCGGGATGGTTTCATGGTATTGTATGGCGTTCTTGTGGAGTTGATGGTGAGGGTGCGTGGAGTGTAAGACGTCAGGCGGGAGAGGAAAGGATAGACGCACCAGACTACGTAGATCCTGACCAACGGCGCATCCAAAGTCGACGAGGTTCTCGCCTCGTTGCGTACGCCACACGGCCTCGTCGAATTCCTTGTTGTTTCGGAGCTGCAGCTTGAGGAAGAGCCAGAGGCCTATGCATGGGTAGGGGCAGTCGTTCCATGCCTTTCTGCGCTGAGGAGAGAGAGAGGCCGTGGGTTAGTACTTCGTTGACGATGCTGAGGAAGTCGGGTTTGGGAGAGTCCAGGGGGAGGAAATGTGAGTGTGAGTTTGAGAGGTCGGGCGGTGAGCAACCTACTGCTTCTTCGAGATGGTCTTGGAGCTTATCTTCTGGGATCTTTGCGTATTCTGTAAAGAGCCTTTTTGTATGTTCCTCGAGAGGGGGAAGGGTCTCGGTCCAGAACGGGGAATTTGTGTCTCGGTCTGTGGGGATGCGGTGGGCTGGGAGGTTGGGGGTTGCTTCATCGGCCATGGCTGTAGAGAACGGGATGTGGTAGAACGATTGTAAGAAAGATGAAGATAAAGTCAATTTGCTAAGGCATGGGAGAACGAGGGGAACCAAGGTGCTTGGGGATGATGTCTTTGTCTTGTATCTAGAAGACATGCGGATGGTTGTAAATGTCTGTGTGCTGGTAGCTGGGAGCCGGCGAGCTTGGGGGAGTCCCGTCGGTCGGGGATTATTTGATAATCGGAGCCGATTGGACTTCATGTTGGGTGCACGTCTAGTGCTCAGATGAACTCACGTATGGCGTGTGATGGACTTCATGCCAGCCTCAGTACCATGCATAGGTGCACGAATGAGGAGCGCCCTCTCTAGTTTGAGCTCGCGTGCCGGCAGCCGTTGAATCGGTGTCTACGTCTGTGATTGAGTGAGGAAGAAGTCCCAATTGAGGACCTATTGTGTACACGAAAGACATCCTGTTACAAAATAACAGCCGAAGACCTTCATTCGCAGATCATGTGTCCGGCTGGAACCTTTTTACAGATGTAGAAATCTACCTATCCGTGTTCGCTGTTTCTTCGGACGAAAGTCAAGATGCTTACACTTCAGGAAATGGTTGGCAGGAACATGTAGGTTGATATACCCTGGAGCACCATGTACACCGTAACTCCTCTTCCACAATCTTGACCTGATCAAGATATCAACCAGAAGTGTTGGGCTCGTCATACAGGCCAGATGTGGAACGAAAGACTGTAAGCATACTGCCAAAACAAAGAGATCTCATACCTGCGTCCACGCCTCTTCTTGCCATCCTTCGTTGCAGAGGGACGGAGAGCTCCACCCTTCAACATATCTCGTCCAACCTACCTGTAGAGTCTCATCATCTCGAACGACAAATACCAGCAGTAATCATGCCCGTCAATTGAATAGCAGAGCTCGACAACGGCGGACGCCAAATTCTCTTCCAAGAAGTGAAGCTGTAGCGGAGCATAAACGACACTCGTCCCGCACGCAAGCTCGAACCAATTATGAGCAGGAACCATCGAAAAATCCACCGCGATGCCTGCGAAACATCCTGCAGGTGCCAGGACCTCTGCGCCCACATGGCAGTTTGATCGACCCGCTCAGACAAGCCTCATGATTGTGGATAATACTCTTTGGCAAGGGATTGAAAGAAAAAAAAAGCTTACGCATACGACCACGGGATATCGGCATCGAGTCAGTTACAGTTGCAAAACAAAACAAAACATTGCTGGTGCTCTGAATGTAAAGCGTTTCAGTGGCCGTGGTTGTGAACGGGTATAAGAAATTATCATTTGATTCGAGATGATGCTAAGCTGACCACACGAGCCCTCCCGCTTTCCGGGGCCAGTTCTTCAAAGAACATTTCCCCCGGGGCCCAAGGGAAACAGGCCGCTTCTGTTACGCAGCTGTGTGAGACTGGGGGTCTCCTGCCATCGGCCTGTTTCCACCCCTTCAAACTCGCCCTTTTTGATTGCGTGGTTTCACTGTCAAGAACCAGGACCACCAATGCTGTTTATGTCCGACGACAGAACCCTCCATTGTTTCCAGCCGTACGCCTAATCAATGACCAAAGGAAAAAAGGAAGAGCAACAAGTATTGCCTGGGAACAAGTATGTGTGAATATCCAAACACCAATGCCGTGAAATATGTGAACGCCGTCTCGTTAAGCCGTTGAGAGATAGTGATGAAGAGTGATGCCGCACAACATGTCTACTGAAGTCGCACTCTTATGTCCGCTCGTTGACAACCCACTTCTTCTTCTCCTTGGGGGGCTTCTCATCGTATACGGCAGGCGGCGGGCCGGGCATGAACTGGCCGGGGGAGTTGACGATACCAGCTTGGTTGACATTGACACCAGAACCGGCAATGATGCCGCTAGGTCCCTTGTGTGCGTGCTTGCCGAGCTCGTACATGCGGTCCTTACGGCGGAGGTAGCGTCGGCGCCAGATGCAGGCGCCAACCCAAATACCAGCAATGGCGACAACGAGGATGACAAGCATGACGACCCATCTCCAGTGATTAGAGAGCCTATATTGAAAAGGTTAGTGATAGCGGGGCATGGAAGGCTGGGAATATTCTCACCAATCGCCGCCATTTCCACTGTTGGAGGATCCTTTTGAAGCTCCGCTTGTTGAGGAAGATCCTGCCGAGGACGAGGATGCAGTCGCAGCACCACCTGTGACGGAATTACAGAATGAAGTGTACCATCCTTGGATACTGCTGAAGCCAGCGTCGTCGCATCCAGCAGCGGGGCAGACACCGCCGGCGGCTGTTGAGAAGGCTTGCAGAACACCCTGACTACAGAAACATCTGTCGTAGGTATTGGCATCTGCCGCCGCGACAGCAGGAGGAACACAGGCACCGTTGGCGTCGTATAAGGGGCCACAGTTCACAGCGCACGCGGGCAACTGCGCAAAGGGCATAATCGTTGTTGAAAGGCCAGCTGCATCATGTTTAGCTAGGGATTCATCGTCCAAGATTGCGGAATTGTCACTTACACATCTTGACGGTGTTGGCGATTTGTTGGAGAGGAAGGGAACAGATGGAGCGTTGGAGATGGAAAAAGGAGAAGGAATTCGGAGAGAAGTAGGCAACTTGTCAGCCGTTGCGGCCAAAACAAGTCGTTGGAATGCGGAGACGTTGAGAGCAATCGATGGTAGGTATTCCCTCCTTATTGCGGTGGTCCAAGACACGTCGGGTGGCACGAGTGCGAAATTGAGCCACAATCCAGCGAGTCAAGCCCAGAAAATTGGCGGCCGGAGAGGAATGCGATGCACAGTTGGCAGCGGTGAATTCGCAGATTGAATTTGGTCGCAGCAAATAATCCCGATTTGTGAACAATGCCGTTGGCGGATATGCACGTCAGCGTGTGGTTTTCGTCCCAAGTCGGTCGAGGTTGAGCCAGGTCCAGCTGCCGTCCCAGGTTCTGCCGCACAGATTGCTTCAAAACGTCGTAATGTGCGTTTCGATGCACGAAAGCCAAGTTCTGAAAATTTCCGGAAGAGATTCCGTGCGGATGGAAGTCCTTCTGATGATTTTTCGTGTTCCGGTTTGTGACGTCGAGGAAGCGTGGGTTCTGACAATTGCGGGTGTTGTTTGTCACCAGCGTTCGGTCGGCTCGGGCTTCGGAGGATGGAGCGTAGGTATTTGGAGGAAGCGAGATTCTCGTATACGTAGGACGGGTCCTGGGAAGCGGCGTTTCAGTGGACTTTGATCTGGATCCTTCGTCGATTGTACGTCGGTCGGCCAGGGGCGAGGTGGTACAAGCGAGTGACGATAATCGGGAAGCGAACGTCGAGTGCGTGAAGCTTGACGATGTCGGTCGGCACGGCTGATACTGGATTCGAGGCTCCTCCTTGTTGTAGTGACGAAGCGAGCGTGTGGGGAGATGGAGGAGAGAAGGGAAGAGGACGGGAGAGGAGAAGGAGACTGAAGCCGGGTTGGCTGTGGTTTGTTTAATTGTGTCGGATATTTGGCGAAAGTGAAGGTGACGAACAGGAGAAGGAAGTGGAAGGGAGGAAAGGTGGTGAGAAGGAGACAAGATGAGGGAAACGGATGATTGATGACGGGACTGAATTTGGATGGCAGAGCCGATGGAACATGGGCAATTGGGAGAAATCGACAGGGCAAAAAAGCAAGAAATGCGCGGTAAGACACCCGACCAAGGACGGGCGATGGATCGATGGGATGGTACGACCCAGGGGCGGTACCTTCGTTGCCACCGCTTTCAAGGTGTGTGCACAAGTACATTTCCCGGCCTGTCCTGACCTGCCGATGCAGAAGCGCCAGCCCCAGCAAACGGCTAAACAGCGCCTACATCCCTCCCCCATCCTCCATTCATCCATCGTCCACGGAACCACCATTTCTGCATCTCAGCATTCACCATGTATGTAGCACAGCACGACACTCCCGACAACGAACACAAACTTGGCACTAGCCACAGTGACAAGACACACTGTCGACGGGCCCAAGAGGGGAAACACTAACGATCACCGGGGCCTTGCTACGCTGAAAGCATGGGAAGCGCTGCGGGAACGACGGGCTCCTCATCAACTCGACGGACCAGTGGCCACCGGCTGGGTCAGAAACTGGGTCCGGGGTTCCAGCTTGACCAGCGTTTCCACTCTAGCGAGCTGCGAAAAGCAGTCCGGTCCCTGATCGAGGGCGGGACAAGGATTGCTGCATCTTCAGGTTTAGGTTATGGCTCCCCCTCCTCTACTGGGTTCCGTATTCTGTACGGAGTACCGTGTTCATGGGAGCCCGAATGGTGGAATCTGCATTGGGAATTGTCCCGCCGTAGCTCGGAAGGCTCGGTCACAACTGCAGTCTTTTTCTTCTCTTCAACTTGTTGTCAGCGGTCCTCGAACTCTATCTTGCTCTGGTCGCAATTCTCGCTCTCACGTATCCGTACATCGTTTTGCTGACACCTATGCAGCCTGCTGCACGCAACACGGGAGTCCGTGATGCTCGTCAACTCACTGGCCTTGCCGCGTATGTCTCTGACTGATTGGCCCCATTGGCCCCCAATATCGATGATGGAAGAGCACAAACCGGGCGGTGCAGCGCCAGCGAGCTAAAGAGTCGAGCTACTCGGGCCGGCCGAGCGAGCTGGGCACATCTCTACGGCAGAGCCAGCCATCTGAGAAAAGGACGAGGCTTGGCTATCGAAGACACCATCACGGCACCTCTGCGGCACAGGGCGTTCTCATGGCTTGCTGTCCTGTCAACTGCATTTCCTGCCACCAGACCCTTCTTTGTGGTTGCAAAGACGCGGACAATACCTTGCTCGACACAATCTAGGTGTCTAGGAAGGGAACAAAGGCCCCGGTCAACAAAGGTGTCGCGCGTGTTGCACGAGGCGTCAATAACAAAAGCTGAAAAGGTGCGCCAACCTCCAGCTCCTACCTAGCTGCTCTCAGTGCTGTCAACCGTTATAGCGTTTAGCTCTCCGTTTTGGTTTCCTCCTCTCCGTCTCTTACTCGAGACAACAGACTCCAGAGTGACAA